CACGGTAGATATAAAAAAAAGTTACTAGTGTTTATAGACCGTTTAACCGGTGGCAGGGCATTAAGTCGTTTTCCTCTACCATTGTTCAACCGTTCACAGGGCATTATGACATTTTTCTCTACCACCGGTAAAGCGGTGGTCAGGGCTCAAAGAGCTAATCTAAGAATCTTCTTCTTTTATGTAGGTAGGTCTGATGCATTGGATCGTAATTACGATTCCAATGTAATAAATTATAACCATGGAATATTAATGTTTAAGCCTTTTTATTATATATATATATATATATATATATATATATATGGAAAACATTCAGAGGATAATGGACAATTCATTTTCAAGTTCTGAAACTTTTAGAAAAGGTATTTCTTTGGATTTGAATGAAAACATGGGACATTCCCCGAATCTGTCATAAAAATTCAGTATGTGAAATTAGCAAATACTAAACATTTCAAATACCTCTGTGTATGGAGTAGTTGAAAAAGAAATAATATAGGAGAAAAGAAAAATGAACATAGCATAGGCTATACTAGAGGTAGTTTCTCTCAACACCGCCAATAGTTACAAAACCAAAACGTTAACCTGAAAACTCAATTCATATTCTTAAATAGTTTTTTCAGATCGAAACTTTCATACGGATGCATTTCAATTTGTTTGATTATCTTATTTATTAGCTGATTTTGATCATAAACATTCACGTGCAACATTAATAAACGTTTCGTTTGCTCAATTCTGGGAATTTTACTAAACCTTTCTAATAATTTGGCACGCTCAAATCACCGTGCTGATAACAAATATGGCGCCAGTTTGTTTACATTGCGCAGATCAATACAAAAATTTCTGTGATTACGCAGATCAGTGTTGCCAACATTGTGCGAAACTTTGGTGTGAATTGATTGGACGGTTTTTGAAATATTAGAAAAATGTTATCTCGATAATAATTTGGCACGCAGTATATATATATATATATATATATATATATATATATATATATATATATATATATATATTTACAAATCAGTGGGTAAGTAATTCAAATGAATAATGTAAAACATTTAAACTGACCCACAAATAGAGCTCAATGTATGTATTACAGGGCAGGTATAGATAAATTGCATAAAACCGAAAATTCAATACCCCATTTCAAGGCCTTAGAAATGAAATAGCCATACAAATTGGGTATTGAATTTTCAATTTGATGTAATTTCTCTCTCCCTTCCTCCCCCCTCTCTCTCTCTCTATATATATATATATATATATATATATATATATATATATATATATATATTCAGGCTAATTTTGTCTAGTTTCCGTGATTGTTATTTTTCGGCTGAGTTTAGTGTCGTGATCAATACCAGGCCAATGCTCTCATCTAACCGTAAGGTTATTCTCCCCACCCCTAATCAAATGAATTTTGTTGCAGTCAGCTACAAAGGGAGGACTACCCAACGACTAGATGCGAGATAAAACATGTGCCACGTAAGATCAGGAATCACACCTTAGTTTCAAATGAACTAATCCCAAATACCTACGGATCCTCAATTTGTGATAAATTTTTAAAGGCCAGTAAGTGTGCGGCTGGATTCAGTGTTGACTGGTTGTATGTTTTGTCCTAGTCACACTCTTTATATTATCTAAATGTACCAGATTCACTCTATATCAAGTCTCGCACATCGTCTCTCTGTACACAGCGTGATTGCTTGCTGGGACTTGCTATCATAAGTTTCTAGTACTTCAGCACATATTTTCCCCCTTTTCTAGCCTCTCCTCAATAATTTTCTAATTTAGATTTAGTATATTTTTTACTCTTTTTCTCCCGAATAAAAAACATTGAAGAGCGGGAGGGAAACCGGTTGTTTTCCTCTTTCATTTTTTTTTTTTTTTTACTGTCAATTTCTTTTAATTATGCCAAGTAATATTCAGCTTAATGTCTTCATAGTAATATATATATATATATATATATATATATATATAATGCACTCTCCCGTCGGTTTCGACGTATGAAGATCTAACAATTTAACGAGTTGATTCAGTTATGAAATTTTGTGCGATAATCTTTAGTGGCACTTAAGACCCGCTAGTGATTTACAAATGAGGCCGCATATGGAGCAAGAGTGAGGATTGTAGGACGAGATCACTGTTAGATTGTTTGACTTTTTAGATCTTGCTCTCGCTTCTTGAAAACTGCTGAGTCCACTAAAGCACGTTGACCTACCCGCTCCAAGGCTAAGCGCTCGAGTGTGTTATGAGGTATAATGAGAGCTGACAAGTTGTCTTTGTATCTTAGCTATGGCGTCCTATATTCCTGTAGCCCTGATCTAACTGGCTGTACATTAGGATCTTGGGTATGCTGTGGACATTCTTAAGACATGACCAGTCCACCATAACTGAGACTGTATTAGAAAAGTCTCGATTCCTCCAATATTACACCTGTTAAACAAGTCTACGTTAGATGTCCTATCTTGAAGGTTAACTCTACAGATGGCACACAGACAGCTTATATATATATATATATATATATATATATATATATATATATATATATAATGAGTCCCAAATATAGGACGAAACGGCCGTCTAGTGCTTCCGGCATTCTATTGAGGTTTCTTCTAGACTCGATGAATTACTTAATTATAATGATCTCAAATCCTCCTAATTTCTATCACTTGTATATTCTTGCTTGAACCGACTTCTAATGCTCTGGATGGAGCATCTTGGTCATAGTAGTCAGGGCTCGGGGAGGGAGCGGGCACAGTCTTATGGATAAAAGAGAAACTCGGGTGAGTCCCACCACGGAATATGTCATCAAGCGGCGCTATATTGAGTCTGATTCGCTACCTCTTCGTCGCCGAGGCCCGGTAGTACAGTTGGTTATGACGTTTGCCTGATAACGTAATTGTCCGGGTTTCAGTTCTCGGTAGTGGATGCGCACTGCTGATGAGTCCCAAATATAGGACGAAACAGCCGTCCAGTGTTTGCTGTATTCTGTTGAGGTTTCTTTAAACTCGATGAATTACTTAATTATAATATGTGTGTGTTAGTTTTAGACGAGATTTAGTGAGGTCTTTGTTAGCTCATCAGGAAGGCACTTTCACATAGAGACACCTTTACAACGAACATGTGTGAAAATTTGTTTGTCGCGGGATGTATATATATTCTTTATTTCTGATTCTTAATGCTGACTGAAGAGCCGAAGAATAACCACCTGAGAATGCCAATAAATTCATCCGAAGTGACAAGAAAGAAATGCGAGCCAAGCATTAAATAACTATCGGTCGCCATAGTTTAGCCCACGTGGGCAATAATGGAATTCCCCAGAAGGAATGGAGCCACTTTATAATGGCATAGGCGTCAAGTGAGATATCATTTTACGGCAGGTAACCCTCCACATATATCTATAACAATGAGCTCGCAAAAGAAGACAGAACCATACATAACCGCAGTGTATATGCACATACATATTTTCGAATAGGTTGGGGGATGTTTTTCTGTCGCAAAAATGTTTTTCTTCTCTGTTTACATAATTCTATTAGTCCGAAAATAACAGCCAATATCTGTATAGCATCTGTATAGCATCTGTATAGCATCTTTATAACATCAGTATAGCATCTGTATAGCATCTGTATAATATCTGTATAACATCTTTATAGCATCTGTATAGCATCTGTATAACATCTGTATAACATGTGAATAGCATCTGTATAACATCTGTATAACATCTGTATAACATGTGTATAGCATCTGTATAACATCTGTATAGCATCTGTATAATGACTGTACATGTGATTAAGCATCATTATAGCATCTGTATAGCATCTGTATAATATCTGTATAACATCTTTATAGCATCTGTATAGCATCTGTATAACATCTGTATAACATGTGTATAGCATCTGTATAACATCTGTATAACATCTGTATAGCATGTGTATAGCATCTGTATAACATCTGTATAGCATCTGTATAATGACTGTACATGCGATTAACATGACCATAGCATCATTATAGCATCTGTATAGCATCTGTATAATATCTGTATAACATCTGTATAGCATCTGTATAACATCTGTATAGCATCTGTATAGCATCTGTATAACATCTGTATAGCATCTGTATAGCATCTGTATAACATCTGTATAGCATCTCTATAGCATCTGTATAACATCTGTATAGCATCTGTATAGCGTCTGTACAGCATCTGTATAACATCTGTATAACATGTGTATAGCATCTGTATAACATCTGTATAACATCTGTATAATGACTGTAACATCTGTATAGCATCTGTATAATGACTTATTACATGACCATATAATCATTATAGCATCTGTATAGCATCTGTATAATATCTGTATAACATCTGTACAGCATCTGTATAACATCTGTATAGCATGTGTATAGCATCTGTATAACATCTGTATAGCATCTGTATAATGACTGTACATGCGATTAACATGACCATAGCATCTTTATAGCATCTTATAGCATCTGTATAACATCTGTATCTGTATAACATCTGTATAGTATATGTCTGTATAGCATCTGTATAACATCTGTATAACATCTGTATAGCATGTATAGCATCTGTAACATCTGTATAGCATCTATAGCATCTGTACATAACATCTGACCATATCATCATTACATCTGTATAACATCTGTATAGCATGTGTATAGCATCTGTATAACATCTGTATAGCATCTGTATAACATCTGTATAATCTGTATAACATCTCTATACATCTGTATAGCATGACCATAGCATCTTTTATAGCATCTGTATAGCATCTGTATAACATCTGTATAGCATCTTTATAGCATCTGTATAACATCTGTATAGCATCTCTATAGCATCTGTATAATGACTGTACATGCAATTAACATGACCATAGCATCTTTATAGCATCTGTATAGCATCTGTATAACATCTGTATAGCATCTGTATAGCATCTGTATAGCATCTGTATAATGACTGTACATGCGATTAACATGATCATATCTCAATGTATTTCGTTCCATTTTTTTTATTTCGAAGTATTTTTTCAAGTATTTCTTTTTTTGTTTCTTATTTCCTTCAGAGTCCTTATTTCTGTCTTTATTTTTTCTTTCTTTTCAACTTCTTCATTTTAAATCCTGACTTTTTTTTCAATTTTCTTTCTTTTTCTTTCTTACATTTTTTTCAAAGCCTTTTTTTTATAATATTTCTTTCTGACTTTCTTCATTTTTTCTTTCTGTTACAATATATAATTTATTTCTTTCAAAGTCTTTTGCCAAGTTTATCTTTCTTTCTTTGTTTCATACGTCTTTCAGAGATATTTCTTTCAAGTTTCCATTCTTTTAAATCCTTTCTTTCTTTTCAGAGTTTTTATTTATCCCTTTATGATATTATTTCCTTCTCTTCGGAATTTTGAATTCTTTCTTTCTTTTCAATTGTTTCTTTATTTTAAATTTTTTCTTTCTTTATTTTCAATCCTTTTATCTAATTTTTCTTTCTTACGTTCGTGCTTTTTTTTCTTTCTGTTACAATATTTAAATTATTTATTTATTTCAAAGACTTTTGTCAGGTATTTGTTTCTTTCTTCTAAAATATTTCAAATACTTTTCTTCCTTTCAAGTTTTTCATTTTTATATTCTTTCTTTCTTTATTTTGAGATTTTTTCTTTCTTTCTCTCTTTCTTCGTATTAAAATTTCTTTCTTTGAACGAATTTCAAATTTTTTCTTTCTTTCTTCATTTTTAGATTTTTATTTTCTTTCTCTCATTCTTGCTAAAATTTTTTTATTTCAAGGAATTTAAAAATTTTTCCTTCTTTCTTTGTTTGTAATATTATTTATTTATTTTCAGAATTTTAAATTTTGTCTTTCTTTCTTTTTTCTTCCTTTCAAAATCTTATGTGCAATTCATTCTTTCTTAGGTTCTATCTTTCTCTCAAAATCTTTCCTTCCAATCTATTCAATCTTAGGTTTATCTTTCTTTCAAAATCTTTCATTCTTATGTTGTTTTTTTCTTTCAAAATCTTTCATTCCAATTCTTTCATTTTTAGGTTTTTTCTTTGTTTCAAAATCTTCCTTACCATTTCTTTCTTTCTTATTTTTTCTTTCTTTTAATACTTTAATAGTTTTCGTTCCTTTTCTCTTTCTTTATTTCGTTAACCTTTTTTTTTATTGCAATTCTGTTACTTACTCTCTCTCTCTCTCCTTATTTTCCATATTTTTCTCCTTTCCTCTTTCCGGACATTTTCAAACTCGCATGTTCAAAAACCAACCGGAATTGGGAATAAACAACCTTTTGCCTTCCAACGCCATCTTTTGTCAGAAACTTAAAACGCAATTTCCTTTTCTTGGAAACAGATCATTTAATGAATATGCACGAATCGTCGCCGACGAGTGGTTGACTCCATTTTTATCTTCTACTCTTTACTGAAGTGTTTTCCTCCTGTTTTTGTGATTATGTATGAAGACAGATGTAGAAGGTGGCGTCCGGCATTGGTGTTAGCTATAGACAGCCATAGTTGCTTAAAAGATTCTTGTGTTTGCCCACTTAATACGAAACAGCGCGCGCTACTCTGGCTAGCTTATTTTGTCGATGGGAAGATTCCAGTTTGCTTGGAGATATGCCGATATTACAAATTTACACTTCGTCTTTGCATTCTATTGCTTTTCCTTACTAATGTTCTTCTTTCTCTGCTTTTCACTTTAATAATCTTAATTTGCCATTTTGCTATTTCTTTCTTCCTTCTCATTCTTCATATCTTCTTTACTTAATTTTATTTTTCTTCTTTTCTTCTCCACCTTCTCCCTCGCATTTTCCATTCTGACTTTTCCATTTACAAACTGCTTCTAGTTTTCCTTTTCCAACTTGTGCATTTTCTCCATTCCAACTTTTCCACTTGCTCAACTCTTCCTCCTTTTCCGCCTCCAACTTCTCTCTCGCTTCCTCTATTGCTACTTTTTATTTACCAACTTCTCCTTTTCCGCCTTTACTTTCTTCATTTTCTCCATTCCAACTTTTCTACTTGCTCAACTCTTCCTCCTTCCTCCTTTTCTATTGCAACTTTTTTTTACCTCTTCTCCTTTTTTCTCTACTTTCTTCATTTTCTTTCTTTTCCACTTGCTTCTCCCTCCTTTTCCGCCTCAACTTTCTTCCTCTATTTCTCCATTCCAACTTCTTTTCCACTTTTTCTTCATTTCTCCATTCCTCCTTTCCACTTGCTCCAACTCCTCTTTCCGCCTCCAACTCCTCTCTCGCTTTCTCTGTTGTTACCTTCTATTTACCAACTCCTCCTTCAACTTCTGCATTTTCTCAATTCCTATGTTCTATTTACAAACTACTCCTCCTTTTCCTCCCCCTACAACTTTTCTTTCATTTTCTTCATTCTCACTTTTCCACTTACTAAATATTTCTCCTCTTCCTCCTTCAACATTTTCTCCATTTCTAATTTTTGTTTACCAACTCCTCCTTTTTCTTCTCCAATTACTTCATTTTCTCCTTCAGGCTTTACATTTATCGACTCCTCTTCCTTTTCTCTCATTTTTTCCATTCTCACTTTTCAATTCCAACTCCTCCCCTTTTCATCCTTCACATCTTTTTCAAATTCTCCTTCTCCTTTTCTTTTTCTTTTTTATTTGTATTTCTTTTCCTTCTTTCTCCTCTCCCTCCTTCATTTCTCCTTCTATTTTTCACATGTTCTCTTCACTCCTTCTCCTTCTTATTCTTTAAAATGCTTCTCATTCTTTACCTTTTCTTCCTCACGGTCATCCTGTTTTTATTTTCTCTACACCTTCTCTTTTTCTTTCTCTTGCTCTCCCACCTTTTCTTTTCTCATGTCTAGTTTCTCTTTCTTTTCACTTGTCTAATTGTTTGTTTAAAAATTTTTCTTTTTCTCTTTTTTTTTTCCATTTTATATCTTTTCTATCATTTTCTCCTGCAATGACTTCTTCCTCAAAAGCCACCTTTTCCACGCCTTTTATAAGATATTTTCCCAATGTATGCCTCACCTCGTCGATTCCATTCTCCCATCCTCTGTTATTCTCTTTCCTCTTTGGGAGCAATGGTAAAAGAGTTTTTCAAGTGAAGACTTTTATTTCAGGAAGCAGGTTTTTCCAGTAAGGCGCTTAAAAATCAAACACGACAGAATCGTTTGTGCTTACCGATTCGCCCACACCCCTTTTCCATCAGTCTGCTTTCCCGTCTGCCAATCTCTTATGCTTTTCACTTCGTCATATCTTCAGTCATTCGATAGGCTTATCTGTCTGTCCACTTTTTTTTCTTCTGTTTGTTCGATTTGATAGCGTGTAATCTTTGTTCCTAGCAAGCTTTAGCTGCTCCGCTTGGATAGTTTTCTTGTTTCCCTTCTCTTCTTCCTTTGTCAGTCAGTCTTCAAAGACTGTGTTAACGATTGACAGCTTGAAAGAAGGCCGATCTTTAAGGCCTACCGACGGCTCACAGAAATTCCGAACGTGAAAAAATGACAGACTAATCCATGTTCATGTCGAAAGTTCAAGTTGCATCTTCGATTGGATTGAGGAGAGTAAATAAACAAATCCAGGAGAAAGATGTCTGCGTAAGCATCAACAATTAGTTACAAACTCTGGGCTAGCAGAGCGACGAATACGCATAGAAAATCAGCATTTATGCAGAAACATTTACGATAAAGTACAGAAATTGTGGTAACCTCGCTTTTTCTAATGTATTTCGTATCATTTATTTGAGTGTTACCTTAAAGATAACAACTTTTTTCTTTATTATCTGTGATTTGTTATGCATTTTACGAAAGAGAATAGAGTGATACCCCGCTTGCTTTTTTCACGGTGTGGACATCTGGGTCTTTTTTCTTGTTGACTGTTTACCACCCAAGTTTAAAGATCTCAGTCTAACATCATATTTAACCCATATATGTGAAGAGAAATGATTGATTATTGATTTGTCCAATGGTATTTGGTCGAAAATAAACACAACGGACCAACTAGAAATTTCAAATTAACACAGTGATATCCTAAATAGAATTTAAGTATGAAATATCGTCTGTAACAGTTCTTGTGAGAGGAGGAAAGTGTTTTACATAGATTGTTATAAGACTCGTTTTCCTAGCTTCAGAATATTTCTAAATATGGTAGTTTGATCCAATATGTGTATATTTTCTAAATACCGTCTCTTTTCGGAGTGTAAGAAATCAAGGAGATATGTAAATTCTGATTTCCTTATTTCCTGTAAACTGGCATGACTTTGGGGGAAGCAAAGAGGCGTGGTTTCCGTTGCTTTCTCAACGGTTTGGAATTCAAGCTGTCCCTCTTGTAGACCGTCTACTGCGCAAACCTACACAACACAATATACCCAACTATTTCTTGTATATATAATTTCTATATATTCATTATTTTTTAATAAATTTGTTTGTCTGATGATCGCAAAAGAATGAAACCCAAGGTTACAAACTCATATCCATACAAATAATATATATATATATATATATATATATATATATATATATATATATATATATATATATATATGTATATATATGTATAGGGAGGATTGAGAAATGGACAAAAATAAACGGGATTCAAAGAAGACAAAATGGCGATTGAGGCTGTATTTAATTTTTTTTTGAAGATTACAGTTATTAGGAAAGCAAGCAGACGGAAGGGAGTCCACACATGCGAAGTGCGAGAAAATAAACTGTTGGAGTAGAAGTGGCGGCTGCATTTAACTATTTCAATAGTAAAAGGGTGGAACATAATTACCAGCCTAGTTGTACGCTGAAATTCGTGCAGTCGGGCATAAGGGGTAAAAAGATCGTCAGAGCTATTGGCATGAAAATATTTGTAGAAAAGACAGAGGGAAGCAAAACGTCACGTCGGGAAGAAAGTGACTGATGTCGAGATGACAGGTCAGGATCAATGACAATATATATTTTTCGTTTCATTTTGTCAAGAATTTCGAGATTTATTCGAGATCATCATGTTTATTTGTGCGCTGTGAATGGAATAGACTAAGACAGAACAGTGAAGAAACATCAGGAACACCAGACCAGATATAGCTGCAGTATGGGGAAGATGTATATACAAACCCCTCTGAAAGGCATTGGTATGAAATTACACGCAATATATTAATATATAGCTGGAGAGGGAAATGAATTTATGCTTTTTCCTAAGTTTATTTGCGCACTGTGGATGGAATAGACGAAGACTGATCAGTGCGCTCTAATTTAACTTTCTGCGCTGGACAACGCGACACAACTCACACATCCGTTTAGAAAGAGGAAAACTCATTAAGAAAAAAGGTTTGTTTTTAACGTTTTCGCCCCAAGCAAAATTGGGCGTGCCACTAACATGCAGGGGGTTACAGAGAGTGAAAGTGGGGAAAAATGCTACTGATAGGGAGGTGATTGAGGAAAGGATATATGATGAACAGGGTTCAAGTCGACAGACGATTGAGTTTAAATTATTAACGATCGTTGTTATCAGGGGAGTGAGTAAGAGGAAGGGAATTATACAGTCAGGAAGTGCGAGAAATGAAGTGGCGGTTACATTTAACTATTTCTACAGTAAAAGAGTTGGACCTAGATGCCAATCTAATAGCACGCTTAAATTCATGTAACCGGGGTACCAGGGAAAAAAAAACAAAAAAAAACTCGTCAGTGCAGTTCGAATTAGCATACCATTGCGAAAAGAGGGCCACAGAACTATTAGTTCCAAATCATACATTAAAATGGAATTGATTAGTTTTCTAATTTTAGAATTGAAATCTCAGAAAGATCAATTAATGTCCCACTCTATAAGCCGTTATCCTGCTCAGTGGTATATGTCTGTGCGCATGCGTACACAAACCTCGATACAAAGCGAAACACGAAACTCATATGTGATTGTAGTGTCGGAAATAAGAACAGTGTAAGACTTCGTAAAATTCCTGCCGTGATAAATTTTGTTTCGAACCAAAAGTACACGTTTCTAAATTATCCAAAATCATGGAAATGGAAGCGGTTTTTGTGTCTAAGAAATCAATTTCCATTGGCGTATTCCCCTGATAACAAAACGTAGTTAGAAGACCTGCCGCTCATATCAAAGTCAAAAATCTAGATTTCCATTGTTGATTTTTATCTAACTTGACGCTTGGTTATTTTTGGAGTCATCTCGTCGAGAAGAAAAAAAAATAGAAAACATGTTACAAGATAAGCTAATAAGTAAAAAGGTTTTTTTTTTTGCTGCTACTGATAAGTCTAGTGACCTTTTATTCAACTGAGAGCTGCTCATAGCGCAAAAAACAAGAAATAAAAATTCTCAAAAGATAGTATTTTTACATCAGTTGTAGTATCTCTATGCTTTTAAAACCAGTGTTACCCCAAAATGGCAGAGTGTAAGCTAAAATGTAAATAAATTATTTTGGAAATCATTTGTTTTCGACCTGTGATTGATTGACACATGACAAAGAGGCAGTTCGCACCTACCGGGAAAGAAAGCACGTGAATAGAAAATACATGTGCGAAATGGAAGGTATGATTGAGAAGAAATGTTCTTCTTTATTTGCCGTGTTCCCTCAGGACGTAGGCGATCATGGACCTCCATATCCACCTATCGTTTGTAGCTCTTAATAAATTGTTTTTGTTTTATTATTACTCGTAAACCCTATTCTATCATATATTTACCCAGGCGTACTCGGTAATCATTCTTTACCCCTGTCACTCTTACCTTTAATATGTATCAGATTTTCCAAATCGTCTTTCCTCATTACGTCCCTTAGAATGTTCAACCTTTTCTTCCTGATGTGAAGCATATTTTTCTTTTTGTTCCTATTTATCTCACATACACAAAAACTCTCTCACTAACACTTACTTACACTATCTATCTATCTATCTATCTATCTATCTATCTATCTATCTATCTATCTATCTATCTATCCATCTAATCTACATTGGTTTGTTCAAATTCTATCTATCTATCTATCTATTCTACATTGGTCTGTTCAAAGTTATACCTATCTATCTATCTATCTATCTATCTATCTATCTATCTATCTATCTATCTATCTATCTATCCTACCTCGGCCTATTTAAAGCTATATCTATCTATCTATCTATCTATCTATCTATCTATCTATCTATCTATCTATCTAATCTACATTGGTCTGTTCAAAGTTCTATCTATCTATCTATCTATCTATCTATCTATCTATCATACCTCGGCCTATTTAAAGCTATATCTATCTATCTATCTATCTATCTATCTATCTATTTACATTGGTCTGTTCAAAGTTCTATCTATCTATCTATCTATCTATCTATCTATCTATCTATCTATCTATCTATTCCATGCTGCTCATTTTTTATGTAAACTCACTAATTTTTTGGATCGTTCTGTTCATTCTAGACATGGAAGAATTGTAAACTCCAACCGGACCCTTCTTAAATGCCAATTTACTTAATTCCTTTGTCCTTTCACTCCCTTAGCTACATCCACACGACTGCCCCCTAATCTTATTTTTTTCTACCCATCCCTATCACTGCTATCAGTTTTACTATCGTTCTGATAAACACAAATTCGCGCCAAAGTGTCAATTTATTCTCGTTATTGTCAGGCAAACTCTTGTCAAATAACATAGTAAGTGGTATCAAATTGACGATATCTGACTTCAGTCCCAGACGAACTGGCTACAACCGCATTGCGAAAAGGAAGTAGACACTGCTTATTTTCGCGTGGAAAGAACAATTTCGCCTGTAAACAGAACACGGGACAAAACAGTGGATGATATTAATTATTTTAAACACAATATTTATTCCAACAGACCAAAAATCAGATCGAGCGATGTTATTTATTTGGTTGATTAGAGGATTGTATATATGTAGATATATACGTGTGTTAGTGTAAGTAAGTGTTAGTGAGAGAGTGTTTGTATATGTGAGAGAGTTTGTGAGAGTAAATGCTTATGTGAGTGAGGATGAGAGTATGGTCTAGAGAGAGTGAAATGGTGTTAGCGTATAGGCATGTGAGAAATGGCAAGACTGTGGCTTCATGTACATGTGTGTATGTGTTATCGAGGGAGGGACTGTACCTATATGAAAGAAAGAGTGAGAGAGTTAGTGGCTTTGCGAGTGAGAGTGGTAGTATGAGTGAGAGAAAGTTAAAGCGAGTTAGTGCATGTGCGTAAGAAAAAAGAGGGAGGGTGTGGCTGCATGTATGTGAGCAAGAGTATAGATTAGAGAGAGAAATAGAGGGAGAGAGATGGAGAATGGGTGAGAAAATGAGATCGTAATTCGTTGTGTGAGTGAGAGTATAGTAGATAGGTAGAGAGAGTGAAATTTTGTTAGTGTATGTGCGTATGAGAATGATCGAAGCTGTGGTTGCATGTTTATCAGTGTAAGTGTTTACGAGGGAGAGGTTACGTATTTGAGAGAGAATGAGGGAGTTGTTTTGTGACGCAGAGAGTGTGGATGAGAAAGAAATAGAGAGGGAGTGAAGTGTAATGAGAATATGTACGTGAGAGTAAGAGTGTAATTGTGCATGTGAGAGTGACAAGGTGTGAATGTGAGTCATAATAAGAGTGTGAATGACTGTGTAGAAAAATGCGTATCTGTAGCAGTTTTATAATGTGTACGCTTGTAAAAGAAGTTATTTGAAATAAATATTTGATACGAGGTCCTTTATTTTTAAACAACTGCTTGTAGAATTGTTGACATTGGCCTCACTTGAACACTTCCAACTGGAACAGAAAATATTTTACCATTCTGACACTATATAATATTTCAATTCTCTCTCGTTGGATGGTCGTCTATTTTCTTATATTTTCAGTCAGTTATGTGAAATTTGTCGTGTTACAAGCTTAGCCGATCATGTATCTTCCGATACATGACTGACGAGGCAGATTTTTTCCCGCAGTAGGTTGCCATTTCTTTCTGCGGTTGACCAGTTGTTATCCAAGGACATAGAACCCATTTTGTTCTGCTATTTACCCATAGAATGGGGGATAAGAAAAGGATTCATACCTTTCCAAAGGATATCAGCACGTAAGTGAATGTAACAGATTCGACTGGAATTCGAACTCGGATCTTCGATTCTCCAATCCGAGTCGCTTGTTTATTTTACTGGTCATTTATGTAATTTCCGGAATTTAGTTATCTGGTTACAATATTTTTATGTAAGCTACCACAATCCTGATTCGTTCGAAATCCAACTAACCAGTGCCATTAAATCCCATGCAACCCTAGACTAGGGGCTTTCCAACAGCCAGTATAATTACTGAAAACAGTTTTATTTTTCTGCCTCATTGTACGGACGACCTGTCAGTTGGTGCTTCAGAATACGTCGACTGCACGCCTCTGCAGAGGAGTAACGACTCACACAATGAGGCGTCCTGGGTAAGACGATAGACTACATCCAACAGTAAGGCCTCTGATCAGGTGATTTTGAGGAGGGTGGAACCATCAATTATTGTTGTACCCAGGTACACCCTGAACCGGGGTGGTAGCATCTGTTACGGTACCAGCTATGGGCAAATTCTTAACCTCCAAACTGGGATCAAGAACTATGAAAGTGTAAAAATAGATTTTAATACCATCAATACATTTTTGTAAAAAATTATTACCAGCAATACATTTTTGAAGAAAAAAATATTACCAGCAATAAAAATCTTGTCGGAATTAAATAACCCGTTGAGGTTGATATACTATCAAAGAAACCAAACAAAACTAATCTTTGTACGGTCACCAAATTCATCGGATGCCATAAATTTTGCTTAATCTGAACCCCATATGTTGTCCAAACACTTTGGATTCTAAAGTTTAATATCCTGTTTTGAAATTTAAACAAGTTTAAACTTTGGCCAGGTAGTTTCACGATTAATATTATGTCGAACTTGAGTGCCCCACGCCCGCCAGTAACTCTTCAGGGGAAGGCTGAGTTTATTACCCGGCTACTAAGTCTTCCTCGAAAGTGGTATTGTCACGGGGTCATGAGCAATTTTTGTCAAATCCCACATTGTGTTAGATATGTATGACGTTGGTGGACGGATAAATCCTCTCCATAGTGATTTCCTACGCGGTTATTTGCCATAAAATCTTATCTTATCTGGAGGAAGCCATCGAAACATTCACAGCACACACGATTTTGTTCCTATTTTCTTGGGTTATGATCCATCGATTTCTTGATGTAAAGAATAAACCTTGATGTCACCTTGCATGGTCAAACCTCGTCACTTCTGTACACCTCTAATTTTCCCATTTTTCTTCTAATTTTCACAACTTTGGCAATAGTATTTTTATTAGAAAAGATCTAGCTGTTGATCTATTTGAAATCAGCATAGTGTTCTTTTCCATTTGGATATATCTTTTAATAAGGAAACGTCTATAAACTGATAAGTTTCTCTTTCAGAACAATTTTAATATTGCATACTCTATTTATATTCGAACATTCTTAAACTGGCCACAAGAAAAAGTCAAGTTATTTTTAATACTATGTAGAATGACAAAAATTTTTCGCAAATGTGGTCTTAATTTGAAACAGTTATATAATCATATTTCGGCTCTCGTCTGCTCAAAATTACCCTTGAGCCAATTATAAACCTCCATCTACGGGTTAATAGCAAGGGAGAATTGACTATATAGTTATAGTTGGCAATTTATCAACTATATCAACTCTGAATTCAAGCCTGTTAAGTGCGCGGCTAATAATTCCATTCCGTAAAAAAACACTACTTTCTAAGACGACCACAGCAGTAACATTAGAGTGAAGAGGCTATAACCCTAGCGTGGTGAGATTATGTCCCTAGCGTGAAGAGGCTATGTCACTAGGGTGAAGAGGCTATGTCCCTAGCGTGAAGAGGCTATGTCCCTAGCGTGAAGAGGCTATGTCCCTAGCGTGAAGAGGCGATGTCACTAGGGTAAAGAGGCTATGTCCCTAGCGTGAAGAGGCTATAACCCTAGTGTGGTGAGGTTATGTCCCTAGTGTGGTGAGGTTATGTCCCTAGCATGAAGAGGCTATGTCACTAGCGTGAAGAGGCTATGTCCCTAGCGTGAAGAGCCTATGTCACTAGGGTGAAGAGGCTATGTCCCTAGCGTGAAGAGGCTATGTCCCTAGCGTGAAGAGGCGATGTCACTAGGGTAAAGAGGCTATGTCCCTAGCGTGAAGAGGCTATAACCCTAGTGTGGTGAGGTTATGTCCCTAGCTTGAAGAGGCTATGTCACTAGCGTGAAGAGGCTATGTCCCTAGCGTGAAGAGCCTATGTCACTAGGGTGAAGAGGCTATGTCCCTAGCGTGAAGAGGCTATGTCCCTTGCGTGAAGAGGCTGGGTCCCTAGCATGAAGAGGCTATGTCCCTATCATGACGAGGTTTTCGTTCTATAGTAAACCGTGAGTCTACAAAATTACCAGCAAAATCATCAATTATTCTTGTTTATACAATTTTAATGTTGCTTAATTTCCGTTTTAAGTATAATATGAAATTATAAATAATTAAGTCAAAGCATGTCTAATGCAGAAAAAAATAACATTTATTAAAAAAAATCTTATTGATGGTAAATACTGGACGTTTATGTAGGAGGTGGATATTTAGTTGAAGTTCCGTGATCATATCCCGTCTTTGATCCCCAGTTTTAGTGATGAGGTTCTACAGCATTGTAATAGACGGGATTGACATAGGTCACCACTTTTTAGAGGGCAAATAAGAAACTATAATATAATTGTAAATAGTATCAAAAAGCTTTCAAAATAAACGAATTCTTTTGCATTCTAATATATATATATATATATATATATATATATATATATATATATATATATATATATATCTGTGTGTGTTATTTTTAATTTATTTCGTTTAAACTTTATTTTTGATGGTTACTTATATCTGTTTCTTTTTTTTGTTGATAAAACAGTATTTTTTAATTAAACAATATTTTCTATCCAACTACATTTACCGGCCTGAATATTCGAGAAATATAGTTAGAAAAATATGCGATCTCCGGCATGTTTTCTTTTACATGATTTCACTTTAAATAAACTGTAACTTTCACATTCGACTAGCAGATCTCACCACAACCATGATTATCAATTCTACTTCACCCAGTTTTGATTCGTGTGTTCAAAGTGCCTCAATTATTATGGAAATAAAACAGTTTTCTGATCTGTTATTTGCATTTCCTTTCTTTCAAATCCCTTAATAAAAGCCTTTTGCCTTATATAACGGCATCCACTAAAATATATGTTCTGATCTAACAATAAACACAATTTGCCAACTATCTTAAAAAGAACGCCAAATTCAATCTCTTCTCAGAGCAGAAAAAGAAAGAAAGAAATTAAATCATAGTTTTCGTTGTTAGCATTTTCCTCTGATCTGAAATCTCACAAGTTTTGGATGCAGGCTCTAATCATGTAAGTCTCCACAAGACATATATATATATATATATATATATATATATATATATATATATATGTGTGTGTGTGTGTGTGTGTGTGTGTGTGTAAGCAAATATATGGATATAGATCTGACAGTATGAAAGAAAAATATGGAAAAACAAAAATCCGAATATGCAAATATGCTGTTTTAATATCATTTCAATGTCGACGTCAGACGTTTCGGTCTAATAGATAATCTTCAGGACATAGTTATTAAAACATAATTAACATTAGACGATATTCAAGTCAACATGAAAAGACGATGGACATTGTTTTGATTAGTCTTACTCTTATGTCTACCGTCTTTTCATGTTGACTAATGTTAATTATGTTTTAATAACTATGTCCTGAAGAAGATCTACTAGACCGAAACGTCTGACGTCGGCATTGAAATAACATTAAAACAGCATATTTGAATATTCGGATTTTTGTTTTTCCATATATTTTTCTTCATATAGATATGTATATATATGTGTGTGTGTGCGTGCGTGTACTGGATTAAATCCGACAAATATTTCAATATATTTTCTATTTATACCTTATATTTCTGGATAAAACATATTTGAGTAAATGCTCTATTTTTAACTAAACATTACATTTACCGGCCTGAATATTCGAGAAATTTCGTAGAAAATAGGCATTAACCGATAGAAATCGAGCTTGTATTCCTATACGGAACCGTAATTTGTCCCCCATGAGTAATTCTTGAGACCAAAATGTTAAGGTTTTCAGATGTTTTCGGATTTAGGAATTCAGCCTATTTAATTTCTATATAACATCTATTATATTGGACAGCTTTCATTTCACAACACAGCTTATACATTTACCCTGAAGGTAGTTTTATATAAATAACATAGATCTTGAAAGTAGTTTTATATGAAATTTAATAAATTTTGTGTACATGCAGATACAGGTAATGACTCTATAAATGTAATGCTCGCATGGATGGTGAAATTAAGATTTAAGATGTGTTTTGTAGTTTCTGTACGTGTACAAAAATCATGATCACTTCTTACATATATAAATGGAGAATTTTTTGACATTTTGAATAATATCTTTATTGAGCACGAAACACCAGGAAAGTACTCCACAAACGAAGGTGTTGCTGTGAAGATTATAGCAAAAAACTAGCGCCAACGTAGCATA